AATTATTATTATTATTATTATTAAAATATATTTTGGGAAATACAATGCCCTAATTAAGAATAATCTAATAATTTCCTGCAGTTTTTCAACCCTCTTCTCTTGAAATGAGAAGGCTTGGTTACTGCTTATTATTTGAAATCCCATACAGTATATTCTAGATGAAGTATTGTTTAACACATTATTGTGTGTTTTGCTTCTTTTATTCGCAATTATACATCTGGTCCATCCTAACTATTTGTTTTCCAAAATCAAGACTTGGCACTATGATATGAGCGTTGTGGGGATTACTTTTAACACAATGACTCAATCGCTATAGCAACCCTGTGTCAGGGTAGGTGGGCACATGGCTGGACCTGAGGTGGAGTGCAGCTGTGAGCCCTTTAATGAGCATGATGTATTTCAGTGACATGCAACTCATACTCCCTGCCTTGCTACAGTTCTCATTTCCATTTGTCTGTATTGCAGCTGTTGTGGTCCTGTCTGTCTTGCACTATGGCACAGCCTTCTTCCTCGAGTAACCCAAAAGTAAATGAAGTCTGTGTTTGATCTCATAGGCTCATCTTGTCTGAGCATATCTTGGTTTCTGGAAGATACACCAGACTGCCAGGACAGGGCACACCCTCTCCGTCACCCCTGCAGGGAAGGGATGATAGACTAACAGAGCTACCTGGTGATACCTGTTTGTATAGCTTGGAATGTTAAATGGGTAACATGTCTAGTTCAAAGGTAAAATGTCAGTGTCCACAGCATGGACTTGAACCCACCTCCCTTCAGTTATGAGTCAAGAGCCCGCTGCTCTCTGCTGCCCCAGTTAAGGCTTTGGGGGATACCTGGAGAGATAGCAGACACCCCCCCAAGGTTGTACTGACCCTGCTTAGCCTGTGTGCACTGACTGAATTAAGATCTGGCCTGTAGCAATGGCTGGCAGACATTTGCTAAAACAAGCACACGGTGACCTTATCAATGAACGAGAGTCAAGGGCCGCAGAAACCATCTAACAGTGCAAGTGCATATCAAGCCTTATCAAGCCTTATTCAGTCAGATAATGGAAATGGGGTCAAACCCTGGGGGTGGGATATTAAGCACAGCCAATCAAAACTAACCACCATGTGTTTGAAAGACAATTCTTTCAGTAATAAATCAGCATTGAAGATTAAGGAAAGAAATATCAGTTTAAAAATGTTTGTGTCTCTAAAATAATGTTAACCCAGAGAAATCTGGTCTCTATGCAACTTCTTTCTTAAAGCTGTTTCTAAGTCTCAGTGGTTTTATACCCAGTTTTCAATATTCATCATCTCGCCTTATTGAAAAATACAGTATATGGTAGATAAGCTCTGCACTCACCTTTCACTCATTTTCTATCGCTGTGTGCTTTTCTTTAAGGCAAGTTTGGAATAGAGGAAGAAGAAATGCAATTAGTGTATGCACCACATTGACAAATTACATCTCATTGCAAAACATTGTTTTTGATGTTTTACAATAATCTTTCAGATGCCTACATGGTATATCCTGCTGTGAGCTGTGCTGGTGGTAGAGGAGGATTTTGGATTTTGAATTAATTGAATTAATTGTTCAAGG